TCTCTATTGTCATCGGCCTACCTGATCAATGTCCTTCTCTATTGTCACCGGCCTACCTGATCAATGTCCTTCTCTATTGTTGTGGTGTTGGGCAAAAGCTGGTTGTGCAGCCGGGGCTCCTCTACGGCTCTCTTCACATCATAGCCAAACCACAGGTTGTTGATGATGGCCTGCAGGGAGACGGCAGCCAAGAGGTCAGCACAGCCCCAGAACAAGGGCAGGGAGAGAGGGGCGGGAAGGGGCGGGCCCAAGGCATATACCAGTGCGGTGGATGTAGTGATCTGTGTGCCTCCTGAGGCGCCCACCACCATCTGCACCTTGCCGTCCTTATCCACGATGATTGACGGACACATGGATGAAAGCGGCTGCTTCCCTGTGGTCCATAGGAGGAGACAGAGAGGCTGCTCGGTTGCCAGTCAGGGCACCAGCCCCCTCCCAACTCAAGTCCTTTATCCCAGAATTCCCACCCTGCACCTGGCTTGATGAAGTTGGCTGGTGAGGGGGACACCCCGAACTGGTTGCTGAACTGGGGTGAGCTGAAGTCATCCATCTCGTCATTAAACAGGATACCACTGACCCGAGAAAGGATCTTGGAGCCAAAACTGAAGATAGGGCCAGATCAGACAACAATAGACAAACAACCCAACCATTTCCCACCCGGTGCCCACCCACACCAGGCCAAGAGTAATCCCTAGGAGGCCAACCCCAGGCATACTATCAAGCGGGAACCTCTGTTTCCCAGCATGAAAGAGGGAGGCCCTGATAGGAAATAAAGATAGCCCCAACCCACTGCTAATGTCCCAGTCCTGCCCAGCAGCTGTACAGCCCCTACTAGAGATTGATGGTGCTGGTGGCAGACACGGCGCTACCATCCTCTGAAACCACGGACAGGTGAGCAGTGCCGCCGTCGTCAGGAATGTAGAATTCGGGCTCGTAGTACTCGGTTGGATGAGTGATTCCATCAGAGATTCGGGCCCGAAGCTGAGAAGCGTAGAACTCTGAGCTCATGTTGCGGATCACCTGCCAAGACCCCAGAGCTGGCCTGAGGAGGTTAGGAGGAAGGAGGGTGGAGGGAGTACATACAACAGGACTGTCCCGGCAAGCCTCGAGAAGATCCAGCCGTGGATCTGACTGCAACTTACCTCTATGCTAAACCAGGACCTCCCCGGCACCAGGGACAGCACCTCCTAAATCCTGTCTGACACCCTCGCCCTAACCTCTGGCTGGTGTCTGCCCATTCCTTGAGTCTCTGGACTCTCGCCATGATCTTACATGATCTGTGCACTTATGTATGGGACTTGTGCCACGTGCTCAGAGCTGACGAATCAACAGGAAAGAGACTCACCGTCTTGCCTCCATGGAAATGAGAGGCCAGAAAATAGAAAGGAGGAAGCTGAGGGCATTTTGGTGCAAGTGGTACCTTAAAAGAGCCCAGAATGAACCCTAAAAGGTCAGTGCAAAGACCCTGGAGAGCAAAGAATAACAGATGCAGGGTGTTGGCTAGCATGCATCATTCTATAAGGTCTCGTTGGTCTATAAAGAGTGACGTTGATCTTTGCTATAAGACACACAGACGCTTGGGGTAGAGGAGTAAGCAGGTTGGGAAACATTTACATAGGGTCCCTTTGGTGGCCATGGAAAATGCTGTGGACAACCAGACTGAAGACAAAGATGTCACTGTGGGTGGGAGAAAAAGAATAGAGGATGTCCTTGAGGTCTTTGACCGGGAGTTGCCATTAGCTGGGAAATGCTAGAGGAGCAGATAGATGCAGGGGGCAGGTAAGGACTTTGGAGCACACACCCATGACACACTGGAAAACATGGCTTGGGGAGATGGGCCCATGAACACTTTCATATGTGAAATTTACAGGCAAACAAAGACACAACACAGCACGGACACATGATAGCTAACAAAGCTTAGTGGCAAGAGAAGACGGGAGGAAGAGGAAATGAAGGGGCCTCCAGGAAGAAAGGGACCCTTGGACCTGTAAGGTTTAGGCTGCTGCAGGGAAGTGACCTGATTGGTCTTTCCCTGTCTCCCTAGCCTCGCAGCTATCGACAAATCCCCTATTAAGAGTCTATCTGTACGTCTGTAACAGGCTCCCCAGGTATCCAGACTCCAGGAATAAGATGCTAAACCCCAGACTACATTCAGTTAAGGCTGTCCTGGCAGCTCTCTTTAGCTCCACCCACTAGCTGACTCCGGGGGTCCCTGTTGCTATAGTGCAAGGCCAGACACCCTACCTGCCTGAGAGTCTGTAACTCTAAGGCACTCCCCAAGCCCCCGGGCTCCAGAATGGCAGGTGCCGTTCTCACTCCTCCAGTGAAAATGTACAGAGCCCAGGCAGACAGACTCTGGGGCATCCTAGGGCTACCGGTATAATGGGTCCATCTTAACTAACTACACCCCTCCTCCACCTCCACCACGTCATCTAAGTTTTACACTGAGAAGATTCCTTCCTGTCTTCCTCATCATGCAAGATACCCTGTTCCCCTTCCCCCACGGCCCTAAAACATTCTTGTCCGGGCAGTCTCTCCCATCCCACCACGCTCTCACTGGCATCGAATAAATCTTATGGCCTTGTAGGTCATGGCGGCACAAGCGTTGAATTCCAGCACTCAGAAGGCAGAGGCAGGCAGATCTCTGTGCATTCGGGTTTGGGCACAGCCACAAAATGGTCTTCCAACAAAAAAGTACCGTGGCAAAGTGTAAGGGGTGGTTGGATGAACACTGCACCCAAAAGATACTGAGACCCTGGGGTGGGGGTTCCACCACTGGCAGATGATGAGCCGTGTGACCTTGAGGTTGACTTCCCACCCCGTGTGTGAAGGAAGCCTTGCTGCTAGTAGGAAGGGCACCCTGGACTGTGCCCATTCAGGGGATGAGGGTGGGGATAGCAAACGAGGTGGGAAAGAGAAAGGAAGAGACTTCTATCTGCACACTTGCGGTCAAGCAGGGGTTCCAGGGAAGGCATGCCAGTGTGCACTGATGTTTTATTCCGGCTTGTCTGTGGGTACATTTTTACAAAAGGGAAGAAAGTGGGGGCTGGGCTTGGTGGCTCATGCCCGTAACCCCAGTACTAAGAGGCTGAGGTAACAGGGTTGCCTTGACCTTGAAGCCATTTTGACAACAGAGTGAGGCTCTCTGCCCTCCTAGTTTTAACACTCCCCATCATTCCTGAAGGATCTAACTTCTCCATCCATTCCTTGCTTCTGCACTGAGAGTTCTAGAATCTTCCAGGTCAAGGGCCCAATTATGTGTGAAAGATCTGAGACAGGAACCTGGGTTCCGGGAGGGGGTGGGCTTGGAGAGGGGATAACAACACACCAATTATCCATTCTCAAGTCTGTTTTCCTCAGTTTCCCCTGCATTATGAGCTCCACAAAATGGAGGTCAGGGTATAGGGTAACAAGTCTATCCTGAAATCAAACTTAGTTGTATTAATGGGTTCAGAAAGCATGCACGAAGCTGGAGGTGGGGTGCCTTTCATCGCTCACCCAGTACCCCTTTTGGCAGGTTTCCCACCCACTGTGGGGTAACCCCTTACCTGAGACACATCGACAAACTTTGGGTCGCCAAGCATGGTCCTCTTGGCATAGGCAAACCGGAAGGCCTCCACGATGCGGTGGTAGGTCAGTGCCTTCTCTTCAGGGGTTGCCACGCTCTTCGGAGAGAAGTTGTATCCTGAGTGGTACCCAAGCACACATTGGCAGGCAGTTGGGGCCTGGAGGGGCTCAGGGGGTTAATGCATTTCTGAGCTATGTTCCCTACACTCCGCCTTTGGAAAAGAAATACGGAGTAACCAACAGCATGGCCGTTTGAGAAAGATGCGGCTAAGACAAGGGCAGACCAACATGGACGTGAGAGGAGCAGCTCGAGGGTCCCAAGGTCTCTGGAAGATCACTTAGACTAGCCAGAAAAGCACCCTGGACAAGGCCTCTTCCACACTCTTCTTCCTGAACATTTTTCCTCCTCCACCTACTGACGCTCCCTCCCACCCGCCATGGGGAGCCCTGCTACCCAACACTGCCTCCAGGAGGCCACAGTCATGAGGCAGGGTGGACCCTCTACCAGTTCACTGATGGAAAGATACGGGCAAAGAGACCCAGCAAATGTGGAGCGCCAGGAGAGTGCTCCTGGAGAGTGCTCCTGCTCCTTAGCGGGGCTGGAGAGAGAGCTCACCTTTGAGGATGTTCAAGATGAGAACCAGCACCGGTCCACTGAGCGGGGCACTGGGCACATACAGGGTCGAGTCCCCAAGGCTGATGCTCATCGGGTTCTCAATCAGCTCAGCACGGTAGTCATTCAGGTCCTTGACCGTCATGATGCCCCCTGCATGGGACAGCAGTTCAGTGGATGTGTGGTGGCACTGTCCTATGGCTGGGGACAGTTCAATGGATGTGCGGTGGCACTGTCCCATGGCTGGGGACAGTTCAATGGATGTGCAGTGGCACTGTCCCATGGCTGGGGACAGCAGTTCAGTGGATGCACAGTGGCATTGTACCATGACTGGGGCAGGGTTGTACCATGTGGGACTTGGTTTACCACTGGGCAGAATATAGGACGAAACCAAAAAATATGGTCAAGGGTACACTGTGGCGTTAGGGCTGTTTAATAAGGAAGTTGGTCACCACTGAGTAGAATGGCAGATTTAAACCATAGCGAGGAAATGGTCTATACCATCAGAAGGGACCACGGGGCCATTGCACTGGTCACCCTGACCATCCCTGGGAGCCCTAGACACTAATGGTGCTTCCACCTATGCCAGGCCCCACAACTGCCTCCTGATCGACCTTCTTCCGTCTCTACGGTCAGAGGGTCTTTCCCTAGTGTAGACTGCCTGCCTCCGTCCGCCTCCCTCTACCGGGCCCCTCCCTCACTAACAAACGAGCAGATGGAAGAAGACACCAGATTCTCCGAGGAACTGGTTCTAAGTAGGATTTGCAGCGGTAAATGTCAATATGTTAATTCCCCCACTTCATGAAACAGGACAAAAATAACACTAACCAGGCCACAGCCAAGCCCTCAGGCTGCCCCGTCCAACGCCCCTCTAAGACCTGTCCCGGAAATTCTTTCTCAGACCCTGTAACCCTTCTTGAGTCAACACTTCCGTCTTCCCCTTAGCCCACACTCTGTCTCACAGCCTTTGCAGCTCATTTCTCACAGGTCCTCCTCCCAAAGCCTCAGTCCCCACCTCCTCCTCAGCCCCAAGGGCTACTATATCTCTCCTTCCACTCGTTTCCTATGCAGCCCGGCCGGCCACTAGGGATGAACCAGGCGCTATGGATCCAAGAGGCCCACGCTGACCCTCCCCTGCCAAGTGCTCCCTGAGGGCGCGGAGGCCAACCTAGGCAGGAAGCACCTCAGAGCCTGGGCCCTACTCAGCGCTCCTGCCCATGGAGTTCTTCACTCAAGCACACTTACCAGCCTCCTGGATGTCCTTCACAATCTGGGCTGTGAGGCTCCCATTGTAGAAGGCCTGGGCGCCTTCCTTGGCCAGGATCTCCAACGTATCGGCTAGCCTCGGCATCTTCACTATCTCTCCTTCCCGAAGCACCTTCCCTTGCCGGCAGAACACCTCGCTGGGGCAGAGAGGACACAAGTAAGACAGTAGATGCAGAAAACTGGACCCGTCAGACCTCACGCCGAGCCCAGGTGGGCTAATTCTCTCACTTGGGGTTTCTAGGGTTCCATCTTGCTCGGGCCACAGTCAACACTGTGACTTCTGAACCAGGCTCTCAATGTGTCTTATACACACACAGTGAGAAGTTTAACAACCCCACTGAACGGCAGGCTCCTGAAAGCAGAGCACACAGCGCCCCCAGCCCCTCCCAGATTGGGCTACTTAGACTGCTCACCACAAGGCAGGTGTCTGCTCAATGACTTCCTGTTTACTGACCAGGGCCATTCCCAAGCCCTTGCCCACAGGGAAGCCATGGCGGGCTAGCTCAATGCTCGGCTGGAAGAGGCGAGCCCAGGGTAGTCGCCCATGCCGTTGGTGTGCCAGCTGGTAGCCACGGATTTCACCAGGAACTGCCACTGAAAGGCCACCTAGGAACCAGGGATGAAGGGATCAGGGTTTGAGAGACCATAATCCCTACTACTAGGAGGCAGAGGCAGACAGATTTCTGTGAGTTCAAGCCTGGTCTACAGAGCTAGTTCCTAGAGCAACACAGAGAAACCCTGTTTCAAAAAAACCAAAACAAACAAACAAACAAGAATTCAAAAAGGAAAATGGGGCTGGAAAGATGGCTCAGGGGTTAAGAGTACTGTCTGCTCTTCCAAAGGTTCTGACTTCAACTCCAGCAACCACATGGTGGCTCACAACCACCTGTAATGAGATCTGGTGCCCTCTTCTGGCCTGCAGGCATACATGCAAGCAGAACACTGTATACACAATAAATAAATCTTTAAAAATAAATAAAATAAAAAAGGAAAATGAGCAAAGGGCTGGTGTGTAGTTACTCTGTGGTAGAGTGCCTATCTGGCTCTGGTTTGCTCCCCAGAACCACATTTTAAAAAACCACCACCACCACCAGCAGCAGCAGCACCACCACCACCACCAGCAGCAGCACCAGCAGCATCCCAGGCACTTTCCCTGGCCCATTTAATGTTGGGCCTAGAGCAGCTTGGAAGGGAAGGGGTTTATTGCCAGGGTAGTGCTAGCGATCAAACCCAGGACCCCCTGAGCATAACATCCCCATTCTAGGCAAAGTGAAATTTAAGATCATTGCTGAGCTCCACAGGCAAGAAGTGTTGGCCAAACACTTCTTACAGGGTACAGAACGGAGGGAAGGTGGCTGTGCACTAAGTCTGCTGCTCCAGATGAGTGGATGTGTCTTCTATATGCGAGATCCTGTATCAGGTCTATGGCTGTACACAAGACTTGGGGAAAGCCGGACCCCTCCCAACTCTGTCTGAGTTACTCTCAGTCATTCTTGTCCCATACAAGCCCTAGGCTCCTCTAAAATATACCTGTAAGGAGCCATCAGAACATCGCCATTGTTAAATGGTGCTGGCATCCTACAGCTTGGAGGTAAACAGATCCTTTGCTTGTGTTTTGCATATCAGAGCCTGGGCTCCCTGGCCTGTCCTGAGGCCCCAGGCTCTAGCAGAATGGCATTAACCAATCAGCATCCGAGCCTCTCCACCCTAGAAAAGCAGCTGCCTTTCGGTTTCACTCTCTTCCGTGCTCCCCCCCCCTCGTCCCTCTCTCGTCCCCCATTCCCCCTTCAACCGAGTTGCTCCAATAAAAGTTGTGATTTGGGAAGGATTCTCGATTTCGTGGTCGCTTCTGCTTGCTGGACAAGGGATGCGTCTGACATATACCAAAGCAAGAACAGCAATGAGGGGGGCTGGAGAGATGGCTCAGCGGTTAAGAGCATTGCCTGCTCTTCCGAAGGTCCTGAGTTCAATTCCCAGCAACCACATGGTGGTTCACAACCATCCGAAATGAAGTCTGGTGCCCTCTTCAGGCATACATGCAGAAAGAATATTGTATACATAATAAATAAATATTAAAAAAAAAAAAAGAACAGCAATGAGAAGAGCCAGCTCTGTGGCAAGAACGATGGACTGGCTAGTTTTATGTCAACTCGACACAAGCTGGAGTCATCAGAGAGGATGGAGCCTCAACTGAGAAAAAGCCTTCTATAAGATCAGGCTTAGGCAAGCCTGTAGGACATTTTCTTACTTAGTTACTGATTGGGGGAGAGCCCAGCCAATTGTGGGTGGTGCCATCCCTGGGCTGTGGTCCTGGGTTCTATAAGAAAGCAGGCTAAGCGAGCCGTGGGGAGCAAACCAGTAAGCAGCTCCCCTCTATGGCCTCTGCATCAGCTCCTGCCTCCAGGTTCCTGCCCTGCTTGAGTTCCTGTCCTCACTGCTTTTAATAATGGACGATTGTAAGGAACTATGAGAGAAATACACCCTCCTTCTCCATGCTGCTTTTGGCCATGGTGTTTCATCACAGCAATAGTAATCCAAACTAAGACAGGGTCTTTCCTCTTTTCTACTGACCTGAGCCTCCATCCTAGCCTTGCTTTCTCTGTGCGTTTCAGTGAACCCATCTGACCTAACGGGTCATACCTTTAAGGAGCCAATGAGTCCATCAGAAATGATTCCTATACTGGATTCCCCCAGCAAGCCCAATGCCCACTTGGGCTGCATAACACCTAAAGCCATATCCTGACCCCTTTGCTTACTAAAGCACAGCCTTGACTCCTGTTTTTACAACTGATGTCACCAAGGGCCCATTTCAGCCCCTCTGAGGCCTGAACGCTGCTGTTCTGGGATGTTTCCCCCCCCCCCACTCCCACTTTGTAGTACAGCACAGGGTTCCAAAAGCCACCTTCCATGCTTCCTCCACAGCTCAGGAGATCTGACACCCGGCACACAATCTGCCTCATCTTAAAGGCCATCTTTGTTGGGGGTTGGTGAAGTAGCTCAGTGAGGGAACACTTGGCAAGCATGCATGAGGCCCTGGGTTCGATTCCCAGTACCACAAACAAATCAACAAATGAAGAATCGCTCCTCTTCCCGACCTCTCTGGTCTCGCACCACCCTGCCTCTCAAGTGCGCAGGTGATCCTGGTGCTGTGGGACCCAGCGTCCTGTTCAAGTCTTGCCGGCTTATGACTCCCCTCATCTACGTCATGCCTGCCTACCTTCCTTCTCCTCACCATCCGCTCTGTCTCCAGAGACGTGGCCTCTTTCTTAGCGGTGTCTCTCAGCTCTGACCTTGAACTTCTACTGACACCTGTCGTGTCTATCCTCCTGCCTGGACCACTTCCCTCATCCGCAGATCCTCGTCTCCAGCTACCCACTGGAAGCAAGCGCTTCAGGTTTCGCAAGCCCAAGACAATCATTGAAACCAACCCCCCACAACATCCCTGTCTGTTTCTCCTAGGGCTACCCTATCCACCCAGGCACAGACCACAAACCATAGGGGGTCACCCAAAGAGATGATGGATCTTGACTTCATCTATGTGTTCTTTATCCTGACCAAACCACCCTGGATTATGGGGGGTAACTTCCTAATACGTTTTTGCTGGTTCCCTGCACCTTACACAGCAGCCTTAGAAGTCCCATCAGCCAGCATTTAGGTGTATCCTCCTCTGCTCAGACAAGAGGCAGGAGCTTCACAATAGCCTATAAGCTTCCAAGATACTTATGCCATTCCTTCTGACACCATGTTTCCCTCCTCTCAGGCCACTTCCCTCCTCCTGGGTCATTCAACCTCTCCCACATTTCCTGAGACACCAACATGACAAGTCCCACCCCACACCTCTGCCTCTTTGCCCAGATGTCTCTTGCCCTGAGCACTCCACCCTTTGCCCTGTGCTCAGTTCTCCCAGCCACTTGGAACTTGTCCTGGCTATGAGTAACATTGATCGTCTGTTTTGCAGCCCGGCTTTAGGAACAGTACCCAGTGCTGTACGAGCTTTCCATGGCCCTGGTTAAACAGCGAATCCTAAGCATCCATAGCATTCTCATACCCAAGAGATTTCATTGCTATACATCCCGAGTTTCTCAAGAAATGTGAAGTTAAAGATAATTGTGAGGGGAGGAATCCAAAGAGGCCATGCAGAGGGCATTGCCCAAGAACCTTCCTCCTGGGTGCCACACCTGCTCCCCACTCCTCCACCTTCTTATTCTGAAATCTACTCCAACCCTTCTGAGTAGTAACTCCAAGGAAAACACTGGCTCCCGCTCACCTCCCTGAGAAGCTTGAGAGTCTCTTCCCCACTTAAAGCCTGGTTAGAAGAGAGAGACTCTGCCAGGCGCTGGTGATGCACGCCTTTAATCCCAGAACTTCGTGGGTGGGCAGAGGCAGGTGGATCTCTGTGAGTTCAAGGCCAACCTGGTCTACACAGGGAATTCCAGGACAGCCAGGGATATACAGAGAAACCCTGTCACAAGAAAGAGAGAGAGAGAGAGAGAGAGAGAGACAGAGAGAGAGAGAGAAGAGACTCCACCTATACTCAAGAGAGTTGTTTCCACAAATAGACAAATAACTGAACGAATTGAATGTCTACTATTAAAAACACAGGATTGCGACAGCTCAGGTTCTGCCCCAGGTTCACCATCAACTAGCTGTGTGATCTCATCTGGTTTGCTTGACCTCCCTGGGTTTCAACAACTCACCTGCAGGAAAAGAATAAGCATGGCATCTTCACTCCAGTCCCAGGGGTACATGGAGGATACAAGAGCCTCCACAACAAAAACTGCCTGGCAAGGGGGCAATCCCAGTAACCCCTAGGAAACATGAGTAATCTCTCGGCATCCAGAAGTCCCCAAGAATGCTGAAAAGCATGGATGCCTTCATCCCTTATATGAAGTACCCTCCTGTGTATTTGATTGCCTGGAAATTACTCATAGTCGATAACACCCATGGAAAAACTATGTAACTAGCTGCCCACTTGACCAACTGAGGGGTGTTGATAAGGAATAAGCTCTGTATGTGTTCAATATAGAAGTAATTGGGTTACCCGGCAGTAGTGGCACACGCCTTTAATCCCAGCACTCGGGAGGCAGAGGCAGGCGGATATCTGTGAGTTCGAGACTAGCCTGGTTTACAAGAGCTAGTTCCAGGATAGACTTCAAAACTACAGAGAAACCCTGTCTCAAAAGAAGAAGAAGAAGAAGAAGAAGAAGAAGAAGAAGAAGAAGAAGAA